TTAAGAGCTTGTCAACCCCTATTTTTGCACATGTACATGTTAATATATAACTTATAAAAGCAAATTACCCTGTGAAATTTCAGAAATTCTGGATCCTAAGATAATTCGAGAATGAAAGTGTGGAAGGACAGACAGACAAACACTTTGCTAATTAAAGGGGCACTGCATCTACCAAGGAAGCTTGGGTAGAGGTGAGGATGGGAATACATGTATTAGGGGAGTTGTAAAGGGATGGGACATCTAGTCTGTATCCAGGTATACCGGGTACGGTAGATATAGAGGTAAGGGTAGGATAGGAATACATGTATTAGTGGAGTTGTAAAGGGATGGGGGGGTCTAGTCTGTATCCAGGTATACCGGGTCGGTAGATATAGAGGTAAGGGTAGAATAGGAATACATGTATTAGTGGAGTTGTAAAGGGATGGGAGGTCTAGTCTGTATCCAGGTATACCGGGTCGGTAGATATAGAGGTAAGGGTAGAAAAGGAATACATGTATTAGTGGAGTTGTAAAGGGATGGGGTGGTCTATTCTGTATCCAGGTATTCCGGGTCGGTAGATATAGAGGTAAGGGGAGGATAGGAATACATGTATTAGTGGAGGTGTAAAGGGATGGGGGGGTCTAGTCTGTATCCAGGTATACTGGGTAAGGTAGATATAGAGGTAAGGGTAGGATAGGAATATATGTATTAGTGGAGTTGTAAAGGGATGGGGTGGTCTATTCTGTATCCAGGTATTCCGGGTCGGTAGATATAGAGGTAAGGGTAGAAAAGGAATACATGTATTAGTGGAGTTGTAAAGGGATGGGGGGTCTAGTCTGTATCCAGGTATACTGGGTAAGGTAGATATAGAGGTAAGGGGAGGATAGGAATACATGTATTAGGGGAGTGGTAAAGGGATGGGGGGATCTAGTCTGTATCCAGGTATACTGGGTAAGGTAGATATAGAGGTAAGGGTAGGATAGGAATGCATGTATTAGGGGAGTTGTAAAGGGATGGGACATCTAGTCTGTATCCAGGTATACCGGGTACGTTAGATATAGAGGTAAGGGTAGGATAGGAATGCATGTATTAGTGGAGTTGTAAAGGGATGGGGGGGCTAGTCTGTATCCAGGAATACCGGGTACGGTAGGTATAGAGGTAAGGGGAGGATAGGAATACATGTATTGGGGGAGTTGTAAAGGGAGGGGGGGGCTAGTCTGTATCCAGGTATACCGGGTACGTTAGATATAGAGGTAAGGGTAGGATAGGAATGCATGTATTAGTGGAGTTGTAAAGGGATGGGAGGTCTTGTCTGTATCCAGGTATACCGGGTACGGTAGATATAGAGGAAAGGGTAGGATAGGAATACATGTATTAGGGGAGTTGTAAAGGGATGGGAAGTCTAGTCTGTATCCAGGTATACCGGGTACGTTAGATATAGAGGTAAGGGTAGGATAGGAATATATGTATTAGTGGAGTTGTAAAGGGATGGGATGTCTAGTTTGTATCCAGGTATACCGGGTACGGTAGATATAGAGGCAAGGGTAGGATAGGAATACATGTATTAGGGGGGTTGTAAAGGGATGGGGGGGCTAGTCTGTATACAGGTATACCGGGTACGGTAGGGATAGAGGGAAGGGTAGGATAGGATTAATACATGTATTAGGGGAGTTGTAAAAGGTTGGGGGGGTTCTAGTCTGTATCCAGGTATACCGGGTACGTTAGATATAGAGGTAAGGGTAGGATAGGAATATATGTATTAGTGGAGTTGTAAAGGGATGGGGGGGCTAGTCTGTATCCAGGGATACCGGGTACGGTAGGTATAGAGGTAAGGGTAGGATAGGATTAATACATGTATTAGGGGAGTTGTAAAAGGATGGGGGGGTTCTAGTCTGTATCCAGGTATACCAGGTACGGTAGGTATAGAGGTAAGGGTAGGATAGGAGAAGGAAAGAGATTGGGGGGGTATCCAGGTAGAAATATATAAATAAGGGTAGGATATATAAGAGTTATAAGGTAAGGGGGGCTACTCTGTATCCAGGTATACTGTATACAGACAATGCTGATTCACCTCCTAGTCATTCATCAGTACCTGGTAAAGAGGTCCCATCCAGATATACACATGATCATGTGTATGATGGCCTTGATCATGACCCCAACACACACACATATACTGCCAATCATACACAACCAGTTTACCAATAACAAACACTATGAACACAATGATTATGTGTGTCAGACATTTATAATAACAGCCATCTTCCATATCACTCATTCAGTATTTAGTAATAAACATCCACATCAATCCCAATTAGTTTATTAACCAAGTTTTTTGCATCAAAGTTCAAAGTAAGGAAACACAATTAAAAAGTATGCCAACAGTTGAACTATTTTAATAATTTTTCCAATATCTCTACACGTGTAACCAGTTGACCCTTTAATTTGCTAGGACTCTGGTGTCATCACTGAACCCATTGTTCTACGAATTGTCACCTTGTGTACCAGCAATATCTTTCAATGTCTGTTTTGATTCTTCCTTATATTTATATGCCTCAACAGTTCATTCAGAGTTAAACAAAATATATGTTGATTTCCTGCTACATGAGTAAAAAGATGTGGTTGGTTGGTTAGCATTATAAGTTTATATTTTATCTTGTTATTTTTTCCCCAAATCCTGAAAACTGGATTGGGTGCAAATTATTTCAGCATTTTTTGGGTTTACCTGATAATGTTTACACATCTTCTTTACCCCAATGGAAAGGTCTGTTATTCGTCTTACCATGCAAGCATCAATAAAATTACTGATAACAGCAGTAAAACCTGTAAACAAGACACTTTCCATCACGGCTAACTTTCATTTCGTGTTCAGACTTCATTGCTAATGAGGAGTGACTTCAGGTATCAGAATACTGATGCAAAGTCAGTTGATAATGTGATGTAATCATAAAACACGGTAACGTGTCTATCAATGATTACCAAAAATATTATTAACAGATGAATTTTCTGAGGGTACCAAAACAATATCATCAGTTAATAAATACTAGGTGATCCAACACTCCTTATGTAGAACTGGTAGTGTCCTAGGGTGGATCCGTGAGTGGATCCTATAGAGCTCCTTACTAACAGAACATAATAGAGATTCCTTTATTTCTCTAATATTGTCAGTTGTGATTAAAACCCATTTCACACTTGCCAATCAACTGCACAAAGTATTGCCAGAGTTCTTGTACATATAGAGTACTTCATCTTGATTAAGTTACTTTTATATATACAAGACGTTACTTACAAACCAGATGCATGTATAATACAACAAAGTGCAAACAGACTACTGAAACAATGGTTGGTCACTGGCAAGACTGTAAGTAGAAGAAAAGTGCAATATGGGCAGGCAGGGATTCAAACCCAGGACACCCAAACTCAGGACGGACACTCTAACTAATTGACAACCTGGTCACATGAAGTCACCCAGTTCAATCCTGCTAGTGGCTTCATAAGTAACATCAACACATTCGTTTTACATGCCTTCCTGTCCTGGGCTTTGAATGATGTTTTTGCACCTCTGAGATGGATTCAATTTGATATTGGGGCAATGTCAACATGAACATTGGATAAATGGTATATGTTTGTGAGGAGCAACATGTAACACGGACATGATATACATTAGGGGAAAAGAACAACATGAAGATGGACAGGTTTAAGTGGGGGGAAAGGTATGGTGTGGATAGGGTTAAACCAGGAAAAAGGTGTATCACTCCATAAAGTCTGTAACAAGAGAAAGGGTATAGTGTCCCTCGATCCCTCCAGGGAGGAATTCAGCAACACTAAGTCCCCAGCTTCCAGGCCAGTCACTCTGTCAATTGAGCTAAGGGGAAATTTCCTCTAGCATGAAGATGGAAACTAAAGAGCGACCATAACAATATCTAATCATCATGAAATTTTACTGTCAACCTAGTCAAGTTGAAAGGACCCAGCAGAATAAGTATATGGAAATGGAATGGAAATATAGTCTAGTATTTAATAGTAACATATATCTATGATAAAGTAACAATAAAATGCCAGGCCAGGATTCGGATCTGGGACCCTCCAAACTCTAGACAAAGGCGCTATTAACTGAACTACCAGCTGGTCACTGTCAGTTGACCCAGTCCAGGTTACATTTCATATTATGTCTGGGGCAAAGACAAATTTCATTAGTTTAGATATATTGTTGCAAGCACAAACATATTTCTGATTCCTTCCATATGACCAGAAAGAAGTTAAAACTGTTAACAACTAGGTGATAAAATCCTATAAGCTATTACAATTTTCATTAAGAAGGTCCTCAAGTTGAATACTTTGATGTCAAAGTTTCATACGCTAGTGTAAAACAGTAAAATAAAGATTTAGTATTCTGTTTCTAAAAGAAAAATATCAGACATCATTCAAGATAAACAGTTTCAAATCGTTATAACGTAGCACTGTAAACTGTATTTCAGCTACACTTACAGACACATTAAACAACAAAAAAACTTTCTGGGAAATCCCATGAAGGTGGGAGGGTGTTCTGCAGTGCAGTCTTACAGTAAATTATAACCCTTTCTAAATCAGACATCTCATTGCCTTTAACAGCAAAAAGTCCAGGAACCAAATAAAATTATCTGATTATTACATATTAATGGGTAAACCATAAATGACATAACACAATAATATCATAGAAACGCACGCTCTGGCTGTGTATTCCAGCATGGCTATATAGGAGTAGTAAATCTAGGTCAGCGGAACAAAGTTATGTTGACCGTTTATCCATTCATTTTAGACAGACACATGTGGTTGGGGCGCTTATACATATTCGTTTCACGTCCACAGAGCCCAGAAACACTTAATTATATAATCTTGTTTCGTGTAACCCATCAACATGTTGACACTTCTTCAACCGATCCAAGTAAACTTCTGACACTAGAAACACTCCTCCATTTTGGAAGCACTTGCTGACCTCTACAGAGGAAAGACGAATCTGACAATAAACTGAAAACACATTTTACCTTATAAAATTGTCATGCTGAGTTGTTATAACGTGGTAAAGTACTCCAAAACGAGACACAGCAAACTTTTCTACCGAACCTTCATCGTCTTGTATCCTGAAGCCGCCATGACAGTGACGTCACTTTAGCAAGTGCGCTCCGTCTGGATTCGTTTACGTGTTTTACACTAGAGGTCGCCCGCTGTCTAATTTGACACTTTTTCCTTCTCATTCACAATTTCACGCGCCAAGTTATATAATATACTCCCGCGGTCATGCACTTTTTAATCCTTCCACTGTACGATCCTGCTTTAAGTCTTTTACGCGTATATTTCCCGATCACATTTATATATTCATGAATTAATTGCATGAATTTCAAGGGAATGAATCACTATAAAAATGTATGTACCTAAATGTTTATCAAAAACAAACATTCAAACACATCTTTTTCTATCTTAACTCCGATGGTTTACATGCAAAAGAACAAATATATCAAATCTATTATTGTGTATTCTGGCACGTAATTTCATAAAGAGGTGCTTACTTGGGGGGGGGGGGGGCAGAAAAATATTCAATATATTTATCCGTTTAAGAAATGATAATCTTTTTAGTTTCTCTTGTTTTTATTAGACTGTCTTGTATGCATATACACGGTGAGTTAAGGATTTTTATTACAAAAGAATGTCTTTTCAAATTCGGGGGAAAGATGGGCGTGTCTACTGTCTGATCTATTTGTTTATTTATTAGTCAAATCACGGAATTAGATTAAATAAGTCCGTGGTTAAATCCCTTTCATTGTTGTACTATTAAAATTAGAGGTTATACAATTTTAATGTACAAGTTAAAATGCATAACTTCGTAATGTTGCCAAATAAGGAGTAAAACGATTATCAGGGCAACAGTAGACAGGTACACCGTTATAAGAACCAATCCACTTCATTTACACAATGTTTTGTTTTATAGATACGAGGTTTCGTGAGTCTTGTGCGAAACCACGGAATAGGATTAGCTATCTAAGTCCGTGGCGAAACTTATAAACTGATATTTTACTATAGCACAAGGACCTTTGAGTTTGTTACAGTAGGTCAGAGACATATAAAGCAGTATATATACGTCTCTGAGTAGGTATGGATGGTCATACACTGATGTGTTAAGTAGTATTAGACGTTTAGGTTTTTAAATCAACATCAGAAAATTACGGAATGTTCATCAATCAATCAATCAATCATCAGAGCCCTTAGCAAGACTGATTTTTTTCTCCTGAGCTTTGATATTCAACGACCATGATAGACCATCATGTGTATAACACCATACATCTCAATTAGCATGTGTAGATGTGAATGCGTGCTGCCGACATATCATGTTATCTTTTGACTCAAACATTATAATAATTTTATATAACGGAATTAGATTAGCCTATATAAGTCCATATTATAAATATACAAATATTTTTGATCAAGGACATCGTATTGCAATCCCATTCAGGGTAACACATCAAACAATTTATAATTTTCTGATATGACAGACAGACGTTTTCTAATTTAATTTATATTTCTTGGTGACCATATATTTCTACCTAATCCATGTGTCAAAATATGTCTACCTTCGTTTACCTGTAAAGAAAAAAATGATGTATGCGAGCAGTAGGGGGATTAATGAAGGAGGGGAGGGGGCGTTATGTAATGTCATTTGATTGACAGTCTCGTATGGGCCGATTGTTGATAAATGACGTAAATAACAGTGTCATTTCTCGTTGTACATGTTATTTACCTGTATTTACATGTACCTGCTTACCTGTGTATATTACCTATAGGACCTGAATAAATTGATGTCCTAAATATTACAAACCGTGGGGTCGTGACGGACGTATGATTATTCTTACATGTAACACCTGTAGGTAATTACCTGTAACGAATCTACAGTCTTATCTTTTATTGACAGTTATTTCAAAAGATATTTGCCCCTGGAAATCACACAGGAAGTAAAAGTAACCGTTAATAATGTTATCCGAAAAAAACAACGTAATATGCATTATGATTTGCGTGAGAGCAATCGTTTTATTACGTCACAGTAATTAAGGAATCGGAGGTGAAAAGGAATTGAATTAAGTTAGTTCATATAGGTGAATGAATACATAGGTACAGTTTAAGTGTCGAAATATATGTACATTAATAAAGCTTAAAGCAACCACAACTTTAATCTAGCTGTCAGCTCTACATGATAAATATCATACTTGTAATACATGTTCAAAACCAATACTATCGATCATATCTGATTGTTTAATTAATTAATGTTCATTATTATCAATAAGAAAGACACCGTAATAAACAGTGTACAACTCCACATTTACCAACGTAGAAGGGGGAGGGGGTCTCGCGCAGAGCGACGCGCGCGTTCACATGTTTATCTATACGTAAACTAATTCAAATGTCCAGCCTTTAAAGACTTACGAGACAATAAGACATTACAATTAATTAATAAAATCATAAAATAAAATATCATAAATAGGTTCATACTGTGTAACTTAAAATAAATAAAATAAATAAAATAAATAAAATATACAACATTTGATATAGCGCCCTATATAGCTAACATAAGCCACTCTAAAGCGCTTTACAGTACATAGATATAAATTGTATACAGTCAATACGATTAGCATATAAATTCATCAATACAATATTGAGTAATTTGCAGCAGGCGTTTACTACTAGTCATATGCCACCTGGCTAACATCTCCCTATGTGTGTATGCCTGCGTGTGTGTTGGAGATGTATTGCAAAGCAAAACGAAATATGTTTATCATCTGAAAGTTTCTTTCCGATGTGGAAAAGTTTTATAAACTTTTACGTAATACCGTGCTTCCCTATGTCCGCAAGGCCGATGTACATGGGGATAGTATATGCTTTATATTTATGAGTTTGTGTAACTCTAATTAGTTATATAGAGCGCTATATAAATATTGTAGCCAGCCAGTTGCGTATTCTATCAGTATGATAATACTTCATATGTTTAATAGTTGATCCAACTATGCATACCAACTATGACACATAAACAACTTATAATTAGGTGGGGAATTTTCACATTTTCTCCCTTTAACCCCATACACCCAACCATCCATGTTGAAAATAAGACCCAATAAAAGGGTAAAAGCACGGAATCATATTATGATATTGCTATCTACGTCCGTTGTCAGAGATATTATTTAGTGTGTAGTTTTATTACGATAAATCAATTTCGCATGTATTTGCATTCCAGTTAATTTCTCTTCGTCCTACGTTCAATAATTCATAATAATGATAATAATTCGAGGTTCTTATATACCGCTTTATCACAACCTAGTTCGTAGGTCGTCTCAAAGCGGTTTATAAATTATTATCCGTGGTTATAGGGCTTTGCAACCAGCCAATATCTTTCTCAACTCCATGAGGCCCTCACAGCTAGCATTCTACAATTCTAGCACTGCCCAACCACGTACTCATTTACAGCTGAGTAGACTGGAACAAGCGGAGTAATGTATCTTGCTCAAAGATACAACACAGTGCCGTGCCGTGCCGTGCCGTGCCGTGCCTCGAACCCGCAACCCCGGAACAAGAAACATTAGGCTTGTGTACTTAGTCCATGCTTGAGCATGAGAATGGTTTTATAAGTAGGAGCACGGGGGTAGGGAATGGTGACCTTTGGCCATAAAGCTGTAAAAAACAAGCCTGATATATATGGTTTTTTTCGATATCCAGTTTAAATTTTATAAACATTTTGTTGTACACAATCATTTTATTTTCGACGAGGATCGGATAATGCAGATAATACAAATGTGTTTGAATCAGATTTGATTTAAGTGTAAGCAGGTATTGTTGTCTCTATACCCACATCAACATTACGATAGATAAAACATTCTGTATAATCTTAGAGTATTATCGTATATCATAGGTACATGTGTGGGAATTGAATATTGCACGGTTTGGTTTAGTATTGTTTAACGTCCTATAACAGCTATGGTCATTTATGGACGGTGCGCGTTTCGGAGAATGTATTGCGGGTTCCTCTGCAGTCTCCAACACCTCTTCACTGTAACGGAGAATGTCCATTATAGATGTAAATATATCAAGCGATTCTATCACAGAAGTCCTAATGTTTTTTAAGTTAACGAAATCATTGAGTACTAACAATGTAAAAGATTTATGCAATCTAGGAAAGTATTTATATTGTGCTGCGAGAAAACGTAGAGAAATCAATGTCTGATATGGAAAACTACGTGTGTACTTTGCTCACTCTCCACTTCACCAATTTAAATTTGTACAAAAATCTCTTGTATACAATGTACTATATGATGTAATTGTTTGATATTTAACCTATGAGTCGGATGGCTCTTGGAAAATAAAGAAACTGAAAAAACTGTCTCCTGCCTAGGGGTCAAATTAACCCGAGTCAGCCTGGCCAGATTGAACTCGGGCTAGGGACAATGGTGAAACCAACATTGATCAGATGTCCCCATGTGAAACACTTTTCGTCGTTGCTTCCTTCGGCATCATCATAAACGTGCTGTTGTGAGGATTCTGGAATAACGATGTTTATGTTACATTTGGTATTGTATACTGTTGTAAATATATTTTCTCTGTACATTTATAATTTTGTTAAAGAGAAATAAAGTTAAAGTAAAAAGTAAAAAAATAAATGTTCGCAGTTGTGTTGCGACTAACGAGTCTCGACCTCNGAGAAAGACATTCTCATTTCAAAGAAGATAGAAAGAAAGACAGAAGGATAAATTGGTTTGGTTTAGTACTATCAACAGCTATGGTCATTTAAGGACGGCCTCCCCTGTGTGCAACATGTATGCGTGTAGTGTATGCGTGTGTGTTTTGGGAGGCTGCGATATGTTCGTGTTTGTCTCCTTGTGATAGCGCGGAACTGATGCCGACTTTATAGTGCTACCTCAATGAAACATACTGCCGAAGACACCCCAGCAGGACACCCCACCCGGTCACATTACACTGACAACGGGCGAACCAGTCGTCCCACTCCTAAATTGCTGAGCGATAGCAGGAGTATAAACTACCATTTTTACAGACTCTGGTAAGTCTCGGCCAGGGGACAGCACCCAAAGTCTTCCTCACAGGGGCGAACGCTCAACTAAAGGCCAAAAGTGAGGTATTGCCAAGGAGACATTAGGAAGAAGAAAGTTGTTTAGAAAGAAGAGAAAAGATAAGATCCAAAATTTAGTCGCCTTACGATCATGCAATGGGGGCAGCAGGTACAATTCTTACAGGGAAAAAAGACATTCTCATTTCTTAAGTGCACTGCGTTTACATTGAAAAAAGAAAGAAAGAAGAAAGAAAGGAACACAGAGGGATAGAAATCAACGGAATCCCACAATGGTCGCTAGACGATAATCTGCCATGAAAGAGATAATAGTTTTTCTCTAAAATAATTAGATTAATTCGCTTGATTAAATACAGACTTTTAAAATCATTATGAAATTAAATGGCCATACATGTACTGACTGACAAGGCTACGAGTGACGTCATAGGCGTCCTTGGAGTGATTTGGTTGGCTGTGTTAACAGGGTGCGTGTACTACAACGTTCTTATTCAAGAGAATGCAGTGAAAATATCAGTTAAACATGGAGGATTGCCTCTATTAAGCGTGCACCTGAAAGAATTTAATCTGGAGTTGTTCATTTGTCGTTTTTTAATTCCATTTAGTTTTTTACTTGTGGACGTCACATTTTATAATGAGATATTTTTTTCAATATTAAATGGTTACACACCGGATTAGAATTCAATAAGTAGCAAAATTTATTACCAATTATAAAATGACAAATATGTTAGCATGTATACAAAACTGAAAATCAATGCAATTCATGTATTTTTGTCTCAACTTTTTGTAGAATTTTTAAGTTAGTACTTTTCCGTTATCTCGATCATTGCAGGAACTTATACATTTTAATCAGTTATTTTTTTGATTTTTGCAAAACAATTAATTGTCTATTTTCTCATTACTTTTTTTTATAAACTTATTTTTCTTTCTTTGATGTTCGTAATTAATATGCTAAGTGGAGTTCGTTACATTACTTTAGCTCCGCCGTATTGATTTTTCATATCCATAATGTACCATCTGTATTTATAAACCTGACAGTACCTATATACATTGCCTTTACGTTTGTTTTGGGTTTGACGTCCTCACAACCGCTAGTTACAATCGATTGAACATCAAACAAGCGATAGTGTAGATAGACAAGAAAAGAAAGTGATCCAAAGTTTTGTAGTTGCTTCAGCATGTAAAGGCGGCTGCACTATAATCTTCAAGGGATTGGTTTTCCTATTTATGTCATTTTGAGTCAAACAGGACCATCTATGATCATGATCCCTTTATTTCTTTTCCTTGCGATATCAATGCAAAAGTAGCATAGTCGGGTGGCCATTTTATCTCACCGAATCAGTCAAATCTGAAGGACACACAACTAAGGAATTGAGGGTTCATATAAACTATGTTTTGATCCCTTAAATGTACTTCCTGAGAAATACAAGAAGGCCGAAAAGTATCCTTTTTGCTTTTCAAATCAATCTGGAGTTGTAACAAATATGGAACATAGAGACCAAGATATCATACATATAGCCGAGTTTCATCATAATCCCTAAAGTAGTTTCTAAGAAAAAATGGCAACAACAATTGATCAGCTGACTAATGAGGAGGAACCCTGGAGGACCCTGGAGGAACCCTGGAGGGACCCTGGAGGAACCCTGGAGGGACCCTGGAGGAACCCTGGAGGGACCCTGGAGGAACCCTGGAGGGACCCTGGAGGAACCCTGGAGGAACCCTGGAGAACCCTGGAGGGACCCTGGAGGAACCCTGGAGGAACCCTGGAGAACCCTGGAGGAACCCTGGAGGAACCCTGGAGGGACCCTGGAGGAACCCTGGAGGGACCCTGGAGGGACCCTGGAGGAACCCTGGAGGAACCCTGGAGAACCCTGGAGCCTGGCGGGACCCTGGAGGAACCCTGGAGAACCCTGGAGGAACCCTGGAGGGACCCTGGAGGAACCCTGGAGGAGGAACCCTGGAGGAGGAACCCTGGAGGAACCCTGGAGAACCCTGGAGGAACCCTGGAGCACAGAAGTAAATCTTCCCGTGGTGTATGCAGCCTGCATCCAAACACATCATGCATCTTATGTCCCACAGTTACTGCTCAGTCATAAAACATAACTATTCATCAACTTCAGAAGATTCATCAAGAAAGATGAACTTGACCTTTGACCCATTGCAGTGACCTTGACTTTTGTAGCATGTGACATCTAAGACGTTTCATGAATATCAATTACAGGAAAATTGTTTTAACTTTGACCCTTAACTGTCACCATGGTCTTAGATCTGTATCACAGGAGAAATACTTGAAAGTCCAGAGATTATACTAACTTACAATGTAAGTTCTGATATCTGTCATTTGAAAATTACAGAGGGCTAACATGCGATTTCAAAGCCAGTCAATTTTATCTTTAGACTCCCATTAAACTATTTTGATGTACAATCAAGGATCACACTTGCCCCATTTATCATCCCAAAGGTGGCTCGTATATGGCTTTCGATTTTTTATGATAGATATTCCACAGGTGTTGACAATCCAATGATGGATAGGGGAATGTAATATCTGGTCATAATTCTAAAGAATGGCCGTAATGTTCCCAGTTGAATAGTTAAAAAGGACAGGTCCAATTTGGCTAAAAGTTGAAAGTATAAGGAGTGTACTGAAAACAACACATACAACGAGTAGAGACAGTAGAGACAGTAGAGACAGTAGAGACAGTAGAGAGACAGTAGAGACAGTAGAGACAGTAGAGAAAGTAGAGACAGTAGAGAGACAGTAGAGACAGAAGAGAGACAGTAGAGACAGTAGAGAGACAGTAGAGACAGTAGAGACAGTAGAGAGACAGTAGAGACAGTAGATAGACAGTAGACAGTAGAGACAGTATAGAGACAGTAGAGACAGTAGAGAGACAGTAGAGACAGTAGAGAGACAGTAGAGACAGTAGAGACAGTAGAGAGACAAGAGAGACAGTAGAGAGACAGTAGAGACAGTAGAGACAGTAGAGAGACAGTAGAGAGACAGTAGAGACAGTAGAAAGACAGTAGAGAAGTAGAGAGATAGTAGAGACAGTAGAGAGACAGTAGAGACAGTAGAGAGACAGTAGAGATAGTAGAGAGACAGTAGAGAGACAGTAAAGACAGTAGAGACAGTAGAGAGACAGTAGAGACAGTTGAGACAGTAGAGACAGTAGAGAGACAGTAGAGATAGTAGAGACAGTAGAGAGACAGTAGAGACAGCAGAGACAGTAGAGAGACAGTAGAGAGAGTAGAGAGAGTAGAGAGAGAGTATAGACAGTAGAGAGACAGTAGAGAGAGTAGAGAGAGTAGAGAGAGAGTATAGACAGTAGAGAGACAGTAGAGAGAGTAGAGAGAGTAGAGAGAGAGTATAGACAGTAGAGAGACAGTAGAGATAGAAGAGACAGTAGAGAGACAGTAGAGACAGCAGAGACAGTAGAGAGACAGTAGAGGCAGTAGAGAGACAGTAGAGACAGTCGAGAGACAGTAGAGACAGTAGAGAGACAGTAGAGACAGTAGAGAGTTTATCTGTCAACTTTCCTTACAGAAAATAAGGATTACAACATAGTTCTTACAGTACAGTGTTACACTGAGTACACACGGTATAGTGTTACACTGAGTACACACGGTACAGTGTTACACTGAGTACACACGGTACAGTGTTACACTGAGTACACATGGTACAGTGTTACACTGAGTACACACGATACAGTGTTACACTGAGTACACACGGTACAGTGTTACACTGAGTACACACGGTACAGTGTTACACTGAGTACACACAGGGTAATGTATCTCTTTTCTCAAGTAAAATAATATTTTATTAAGTTAATATAAAGGCAGAAAAGGACCAATCCCTTGATACATTGACTTAACATGGAAAATCAGGTCCCTGTGCAACAATACACAGAAATCAATGAAAAATGGCCTCCGTGCAATGATGATCTGTATAAGAGTTTCAACAAATGGGAAAACATAATAAATGCTATTAAGTGTGTCGTAACGTTAATACATAATAATAACAAATGAAACTGTAAAAAAATGGATTCAAACCAGCAAGGTAAATATAAATGCATATAAAACTTATATATACATATCTTGTACGATATAAGTTTATTTTTTTACCATGAAATATATAAGATTTTTACAGTGAAAATTAGGTTAGTGTTTTTCAACTGTGACAATTTTTTGGCAGGAGATTAACTATCTGTTATGGACGCCTGTGTCATTACAAAAATATTACAAACAAAATATTCCTAGTTTCCTCGATGGTCGATGGATAACAATGATATTTTACTTGTGGGTTGAAGATTTTTCATTCATGTTTTGCACATGTTAAAAACATCAAATATTCATCCCACTCGTTAAATATAACTGTTTATTCATTAAGAAAAACAAGAATATTTGTTGTGACAGGATGAAAACAGAGTTGTCACATGACAGACCATGTGATCAATTGGCAATCTATACAAACACCATCCTAGAAACACAGAGTTTCAATCCTGAAAAATATGAATATACAACAGGGTTGACAGTATGGCCGCCCATATAACTTTACTTTCAGCCTTTTTATCAATTTATAGCACTTATTCCTGTGTCCTTGGTATACGACAATAGTTCCTTTAATGCATAATTTATAACTTTAATAATGTTTTGATATGGACATAGAGGCAATTCCGTCTTTTTGTATTGCAGAGTTATTTTCTCTTGTGAGCAGGTATTGATTGTTACGTCATTGGTTTGTGTGAGAAAATGACGTAGTTTTTCAAAAATTGATGACGTTACTCTCACAAACAAATGACATAACCATCAATACCTGCTCACAAGAGAAGATAACTCTGCAATACGCAAAGAGGGAATAAGCCTGGGTCCATTATGTATCTAATTAAATCGTCTCAAATGCACTAGGATAGGGTTTTGTATCATCCTGCCTTCGTTGTAGTATACTTAACTTACTTGTGTTCCTAAACGACAATATTTATAATTCTCCTCCTGTGATAACTTTTCAAGGTTGCTATATATATATAATGCTGTCATATAGAGGACATCTTAGATAATCTGATTAAAAGCATCTGTTACAGTTCAGGAAGTATTACAGTTCAGGAAATAGTTAACTGAGCAACAGATGATTTTAATCAGATTGAGATGATAGTAAATATGCATTGTAATCATTAAATAGCTCAAAAGTGTATCTCTGTTAAATCTGTATCCAGGAAAAACTTCAAAATGATATTTTATCGGATGATTAATATTCAACAGTATAAAAAGTTTGACCTGTTTTAATGGGTAAGTTTCCATTTGATTAGAAATTATAAAATATTTCTAAAACGTTTCTATGATATATTACTAAACGTTTCTATGACATATTACTTTGTCAGCATTGAGCAAAGGAAAATTAGAACTTGGGTACAATTTAAAAAATATAATATGAAGCAGAAATACATTCAAGATCCTGTTTATTACATATATCAAGCATGGATGTAAAATATGTTACAAAAATGCAAGGCATGTACATATATAATGTTGAGACTTATATTATTGACAGTATATAATTGAGTACTCGTAAGTCCGACTGTGACAGAACACCGTTTGTCTTGATACGTATTGGCCAAGTACATTGAATACAATGAAATGTACTTAAAAGCGGCACTTGAATAACTTGTCATCAAGCTAGACCAGGTAAAAAATATAAAAATTGTTTTGATAATCCAAAACGTTCACTTTCCAACTTTTTCCATAGCTTGGACTATTAAAAACAAATTTTTAAAAAATGAATATTTTTTAAGAGAATTGATAAGTTTAATACCATGACAAAGTGTAACCATAGAAATCTGCCAGAACTTTAATGTACTTCAGATTCAAATCAATATTTCTCCTCCTAAATGTTTTCTGTTGTACCTGTTCCCCTAACTGCTGTGTATGATTATGTGTAGTGACTAAAGGGAGACAACCCAGTAAGTTTAACATACAGTTTTTGCAGCCATACTGGTTCAACTTTACGCATATTCCTCTAAAGTCTTGCAATCAATTCTTTCTATATCTCAGAGGAACATGTCTTTTAGATAAAACCTGATCATTGATCTGTATTAATTTTCCTTCACAATTTCTGTTAGCGCCACAGTGACTAAAGATCCTTTTACCACTGCTGGCAAAACAAGGCTACCTCCCCTTACTTATGTTTTGGATGTAACTGTCAGTTAATTATTGCCAATTATTGTCAACTATTGCTAGCTCAGTTGGTTAGAACAACCGTATTGTAATACATGATGTAGACGGTTCAGAGTTCAACCACAGTTAAATCTTTGTTCTCAGAACACTGGTTTATATTGAATTTCTTTTTTTTTTAAATCAATTTTGTTATGTTTTAAAGTCCTACAGGGCATGAGGTTTTCTTTTCAGAAATGATTTATCAAAAATATAAAGCTATGGTCATGTTGGCAAAAAAAGTTTCCAATAGACATAACGTACAAGTAGATTTTTGACAATGGTGCAAGGATTCTTAAATGCCATCATTTTGAAAAAATTATGAAAACTTATTGAAAAAAAAAATAATCTGAAAAGTGTCTTTTACTCTGAGATATGTATATTTTTATAAACAGTACCTTAAATTGGAAGTATTTTAAGATAATCAGACTGTTTTCCTGAATCAATCTGGACTTTAAAAAAATGTTCAAACACACAAATGTGATCAGAATCTGTTAATTAAAACTTTAATTGAAAGTTAAGTAATAAAATTTTGCTGATTGTCCAAGACGTTTCCCACATTCATGCAAAATAGCAAATGCATTTGAAATCATGTGAGTGCGCTTCTCAGCTACCGGTAATCACAATCACAATCCTTCTTACAGATTACATATACACTTAAAAGACAATCAAGGTCCTCGTTACAAACCCTAAAAACAACTTTGAATTAAATCAAGTGGAAATGGTATACAAATAGTCTTTACAATGTCAAACTGATGATACTAACTGAATTTCTTCCCAAGGGATATAACTCTGACACAAATCACAGTTTTAATGTGCGTTAGGTACCAAAAAGCCTGAAGTACTCCACATACAACGTAATAGGATTAAGTAACACAGGGTTTGTGTTTTTATT